TTACTGCCCTCCCTGGACAGCACTCTTCTTAAGGCCACCTCGCTGTTGGCCTTGCCATTGTTTCCCTCCCCAGAGCCTAGCCCATAGCTGTCCTTTCATTTGACCAGTTACGGATGACCCACCACTGTGTACCAAACCGCCGCTCGGCAGGGACAGCGAGTGGTGTTCAGCCAGGAGCACCACAAACGTGGTCCCCGCAATTGCAGAGGTCGCAAAATAGGTGCTCGGTCATTACTCACTGGCATGAATAAACGAGTGAATAATGTACAAACCACCTCCAGGGAAATCCTCACCAAAATGACTTTGAAAAGTCTCCCCACTCTAGATATCCTCAGGAGGTGCTTCCCACCTGCAGAGTAAAGGCCACACTCAATAGCCTGTGATGCAAGGTGCTTCTGAGAGGCACAGGGGTCCCCACCAAGGTCAGTGTATTGGTTTGCTGGGCCACCCTCCTATAACACCACAGCCCAGTGGGCTTAGACCGTTCTGGGGGCTGGAAGTCCAAGATCAAGGTGTCAGCAGGTTTAGTTTCTCCCGAGACCGCTCTTCTTGGCCACTTCCTAGCAGCATCCTCACGCGGTCCTTCTTCTGTGCGCACACGCCCCCAGTGTCTTTCCGTGCCCAAATGTCTTTTTCTTAAACAAAAATGGCAGTCAGATTGGATCAGGGCTGTCGTATGGCCTTGTTTTAATTTCATTACCTCTTCAAGGGCCCTCTGAACACAGTCACATTCTGAGGCACAGGGGTTAGGGCTCCACCACCTGATTCTGCTGGTGCTGGGGTGGGGGTGGGGGCACAGTTCAGCACGTAACATTTAGAAATATAATATTTTGGCATCAAACAAAACTGGGCTCTGAAATTCACTACTAGGCACTGCACCAGCGAGAGGACTCATAGCTTAGGTGAGCCTCAGTTTCCACGTCTGAAAAACCGGAATGACACTACCACCCTCACCGGGTTCCTGGGGAAAGTACAAGCTTTTACTTACATGAAGCACTTAGCAGAGCCACACACAGTAGGCACTCAGCTCATCAGAGCCAGCTGTCACCACTTCCTCACACTTTACCTGCCCTTGTTCCCGGCACCAATCCCCTTTACTGCAGGTTCCTGAATGCACTTGGCCTTGCCCTTCCAGGCCTTGTTTCATACACCGGCCCCCTCGTATTTGGTCCTAGTCCTCTTCCTGGCTCCCTTAATGCCCCTTCTCTCCATAGTCGGGTGTCAGCCGCCAGCTCCTGCTCACCGAGTTTGTTGGCATTATTACCTAATTTACACCAACAGACCATCCAATTACCACCTAGGAATTAAAATCCCAAGTTGTAAATTTGCCCGCTAACATGCGTGCTCACAGGCTGACCCTCCCAAAGATGTTGCAGGCATTTTAGATCAAAGCCCACATCGCGCTGCTTAGTTTTCCTCACAGAGCCTGTCAGAGTGTCTCAGAGAGAGCAGGCCTCAATGAACCCATCAGAGGCGTTCGTAAACATAACGATATTTACACGTGGTCAACATTCACTGATTAAACAAATGTGCATGTGAGGTTTTAGCATAAAGAAATGAGAACAAGAAACACCAAAGCGATGTTTCTCTGGAGGGGGAGGAGGTCACTCACCCAGGGTGGATTCAATGGTGCTGGCAATGTTGGGTGGTGTTTTTTAAGCTGCGTGATAGCTTCACAATTATTTGCTACTCGGTTTTCACACCTCTTTGTGCCCTTAAATGTTGCAAATTAATATTTATTAATTGACTCATATCTGCTATTTGTACACGGACGGATTAACATGCACAACTAATGTGTGAGCAACTCTTCTGATGAGAGAGAAAATTACTTTAAATAATTGTCTTGGAAGCATTTTGGTGAAGACTCCAGAGTGTAACTCCACAAACTCTCTTAATTAATATTTTATCTGGCTGAAAATATTTATGAGACATTACTAGCCTCATAAATGCAATGGAATTTCTATAAATAGGAGAACAATAATTTCCTGTGTGTTGTGTTCTACAGAGAAAACTTACTGGTGAATTCACCGTTTGCCTGATGCAGGGAGGTCAGCGAGGCAGAGGACGGCGGGCAGAGGCAGGGGCTCTGTGCGCCAGTGAATGCGAGAACACACAGATTCTCCCTGCTTTCCAGTACGACCTTGTCCATTTCCAGACAGGGGAGGATGCATAGTATCTTCCAAGCCCCGAGGAGTTCAATTGTGTCCCCTCCTCTCAAATGTCTCCTGTGCTCTTTGCAAAACTTGAGCATTAAAACAAAACAAAACAAACAAACAAACAAACAAAAAAAAACGCGGGCTCATCTAAATGTGCAAACCCAGCCAGGGCGAGCAGCCCCGTGCTTCCTGTTTTCCAGGTCTGGGCACGAGCTGGGCCCCGGTGTTCTCTCTCTGGGTCCGAGGTCCCATCACTCCGAGGACATTTACAGAATGGCATTCACCAGATCGCCCTCTATCGTGCTTCAAAGTCGGCACCCTGGTCGGGACAAAGGAAATTCCGTGCATGGTCTTTATGCTACATCCCAAGTCGCTGCCACCCCAGGAATGTGGCCAGTGCGCGTCTCGCAGACCATGGAGCTGCACAGCCACAGCCTGTCCCAAGAACTCGGAAATTAAGAAATGAAGATCCTTCTTCTCAGAGTGTTAAAGTGTGAGATCAACATGGAATGGATGAGGAAGACGACAGGCCGAATCCCCGAAGGGACTTCCAGACTTCCTGGTCAGGCAGGGCCAGCTGCAGCCACACTGAAAAGTCGAACCCTCCACAGAGAGAGGGAAGGGGAGCACACAAGGCCACCCCTCTCAGGGCCTGGCTGCCCCTGTCTTTAGGGAGGGTGCCTGGGCCATGGGCTGTGAGCACGCTGGTGTCGACAGAAGAAGTGTCCAAACCCACAGAGAATTTGAGTTTATCTGGGCCGAGTTCAGCCCAAATAATTGTTGCTCACAATTATTGTGAGACCAAATCTCGACGGACTGCAAACAACCCTCCAGAGAAGGGCAGTCTGGCTGCTTGTTCCATACATCAGAGCCAGAGGAGGAAGCTGTGTGTAACGAGGGCCACGTGGAGCCCACAGATGGCAGATTACGTGGGCGGAAGAAAGCAAAACAGGGAAATCATCTGAGATTGTATAGAAAGGCAAAGCCAAGAGACCCACAGTTCCCTACCCTGGCAGGCACAGGGGAGTTCAGAATCAACATTGACAGCACGCAGAGATGACATGGGGAGGGGGGCAAGGTAACCACGGGGGTTCTGTGCTCTCCTGCCCTGAGGGGTCTGGAAGAGGGGGATTACGCTGACATTTCAAAGGTCTGTTATCTCAGATGCACAAAGACTTTCAGCAGGCTCAGTTAAGGTCAAGACTGACCTTTGTCCAGGAAGCCCTAGGCCTAGGACTGGACTGCCTGCCATGATCTGCTATCAGGAATCTTGATGTTCAGGGAGTCCTATGTGGTTACTTTCCGTCTCTGAGTTGCACGCCCGCCATGCTGCCTCCCCTGAGCCTGTCAGGGTTCCCACGTGACCCCTTTTCTGTCCATACTGCTCTGTGCTGCCAGAGGAGCCCCCAGGTGGCTGTGAGAGAGCCAGCTTCCTGGTGGCTGTCCTGGGGCTGAGCTCACCTTAGATAGAGGGTGGGCCTGGTGCACCGCAGGCCCCGCCCCAGACCAGCATTTATCCCCAAGTCACTGAATAGAGCTTGCTTCCTGTTGTTGACAGTGTTCACCTGATAAATATTCATTGAGCACCTGTGCTGGGGACACAGCAGAAAACATGGCAGCCATAGTCCCTGCTTGGTGGACACTGGTCTGCCCGCCACCCCCCTCCCCCTCAACCCCAAGGGAGACACTCTCAGGGCCTAGGACAGGGATGTTGAACCCAAAAGGTTAGGCAACAGACGAGGGGGCCCTAGGGAGCCCCACCGGCTAGGAAGCGCCACCCTGAGTGGACCAGTCAGTCCTCAGAGAAGCCTGTGAGCTCCCCACACCCCCACACCCCCCCCCCCCACACACACACACAGACGCGGCCCTCCCTTCGCAGGAGCTGTGACGTCTGCAGCTGCCTTTTCCTACAAGTCACTGGAACTAAAGATTAAATACTCGCCGTCATCCTTCCTCCAGGCAGGCAGGAATCCAAAAGGGCGGGGAGTGGCTCTCCCCAGCCCGGCGAGCTCTCAGCTCTGGCTGTGCCTCTGGGCTGCGCAGAGACGGGAGTGGAGGGAGCATTTCCCGCTCTTCCAACCCCGCCATAGGGTTTCGGGAGAGGGTGGCCAGGGGGGAGCAGAGAGCTGGAGCCCCGGGGAGCAGCGGCAGACCTGTTTGCTGTCTCTGGGCCGGCTCCGCCTCCACCCAGCGGGTCGGGGCGCCCCAGACCATCACTCCACCCACAGGAGTGAGGGGGTGGGGACGCAGCGTCCAGACCCTGGCTCCCCCGACTTCCCCAAGGCAAGTCTCCCACCTGCTCTGTTCCAGCTGGAGAAACGCAACTCAATTTTGCCAGCCTCCCTCTCTGTGCACCGCGGAGTGCCTGAGCTACCCCTCCCAGACTCCATGCAAGATTTCTGCCCTCCTAGCTCCTTCCCTCTTTCGGTCTGCTCCACCGCACCCCTAACCACCGGTTCTCACACTCAGGTACACACACGTTCACACCTGCACTTGCGGGCGCGCACGCACATGCACACACGTTCACACCTGCCCCCGCGTGCGCAGAGTCCTCTGTGCTTTGCCTCTGCAGGACCGACCGGAGGCACACCCAGTACTGCTGCCGAGAGGAGCGGGTGGGGGTGAGGGGGAGTGGTGGCCGGAGCCTGGGGGAGGGGACGAGGATCCGCCCGGCCGCGGTCCCCTCGGGTTCTCTCTGCACCTCCCAGGCTCCGAGTCATTCAGAACTGCTGGTATCCCCTGATCACGTGGGAACCCCTCCCCGCTCTTCACCCCACCCCCGCCGCCTTTGCCTGGGGCCCTTTAAATCGGTTATTACACCTTGCTGCTCAGAGATCCGTCTGTACTGGGGGCAGAAGAGGAGGAGAACCCGGGAGAGAAGAGGGCGGAGGGGAGGAAGGGGGGAAGACAGATAGAGAGAGAGAGCCTCTGGTTGCTCTGCTGGAGGAGGGAGTGACTGAGGGGCTGGCGCCGAAGGGACAGGATGGCTCAGAAACCACTGCCAACAGGACCTGCACAGGGAGAGGCTCTAGGCAGGGTCTGAGGCCAGGGTAATGGAGGGGGCTGCAGCGTCCCCTCAAAGGCCCTGAACGCCCCCCTTCCCGGCCCCGCCTCTAAGGGACACCCCAGAAGTTAGCATCAGTGACACTTGGATGCTGCGATCGCAACAAGTAAGTTGTCTTCTTTTCCTCCTCCATTCCTCCCCCAGCTCAGCAGACTGGAAGGCAGGACGGCACTATCAGGGCGCCCGTGTCCCTAGCAACTGGCTTTTACCAGTCACCAGCCTGCTTGGGAACGGGAGGAGGGGGGAACAGGGAAGGGTTTAGGGTGGGTCCAAAGTTCGCCCAGGAAATCTGAGCTCTCCACAGCCCTCCGCTGGGCAGCCTTGGGCTGGGGATGTGTGCATTCATCAGACTGTAAGGCTGTTTTGGTACCAGAGCAAGGATTCCTGCCCACCCCCACGACCCCTTTCGTGGTATAAGAGGCCGGGGCAGTGGGAAAGGAGCATATTTTCCTAGGAATTGGCTGTGGCTTCAGGTGGAGGTGTAGAGGGCAGGGTTGCGGGCGGCGGGGAAGTGGGGCTCCATCAGCCTTAGACCCCCAGCTTAATCTCACTTTCTTTTAAGCCTGGCCAAATGCATTGCATGGCCTTGCTCTGCGGGCTGCTTGCTGCCCGGTCACCTCCTGCACTCCTCCCCATCTCTTTTTAAACATCTTCCGAATTGTTCAGAAAGGCCAGGAGTCCCGGCTCCAAGTGCGGGGAGAGGGAATGGGGAAGGGCATGGCCACGATCCTCATTTCCCCAGACCCAGGGAGCTCCCTGGAGAGTTGTCTGTGCCCCGCCCCCGCCCCCCAAATGGGGCTCTCCTCCTGGCCTAATGTAGCCCTGGCTCCCAGGTCATATCTGACCCTCAGAGGTCCAGGGCCTACCCCAAACTTCGGGTCAGGGGTCAGGTAAGACCAGTTTTGCAACACCAGAAGATCAGTGGGTACACAAGGTACATGCAGGTTTGATTTGCGTCAGGCTGTGCCAAGTACTTTGCTCTCTTTTGCTCCTTTTAATGGAACAGATATTATCACCCCGAGTCTACTGGCGAGAAATCACAGCGTGGCGAGGCTGAGTAGCTTTCGAATGCACACAACCTGCAAGTGAGATTCCCACCTGGGTCTGACTGCGACACAAACTGTTTTTTCGTCACTAAGCTAGGCATCCTCGGGCCTTCTGGTTCACAAAGCACTTTGCATGTGGGAGCGAGGCAGTGAGAGAAGCTAATACTTACGGCACCAAGGACTGAGCTGGACACTCTGATCTGACTTAGTCTGGACACCAGCCCTGAGGCAGAGGTCAGTTAATGCACCAGCTTTATCGCTGACACCGAAGCTTAGAGCATTCTGAGCACTAGTAAGCGGCAAAGCTATTAACTTCTAAACCCTTGCCTTTTGGCTTCAAATCCAGAGGGCAAATCCCACTATCCAACACTACCCCTGGAAGGGGTTCTGGCCTTCCCAAATCCGTGCCCATTCCTGGGACCCAGGTGCGAACCCCGCCAGCTGCCTGAGAGAGGCCAGGGCTTCCCAAAACCTGGCGGGGGGTGACCCCAGCAGGGGCAGTGATGTGGTGGCCAGCGAGGAGAGGCCCCTGCCTGGGCTCTGACACAGAAGGCTCGGCCAGCTCCACTGGGATCTCCAGCTGTGGATCTCCTGGATCCGATCAGAGATGGTGTCACTCTGCGCAGAGGCTTCGGGCCGCACTCTCAGTGGGGGTGCAAGGGTGCAGGGCATCCGCTTCTTGGCAATATCAAGGATTGTCACTTACTGAATGCCTACTATGTGAGCTTAAGCATTTTCTGTACGAGATGGGATTGTTCTTTTCCTCTCCCGCCCACTGCTTTTCCTGTTCCTCCTCCCTCTACCTCACTTCACCCCAATGCCCCAGAGCCCCCTGTGCCCAAACACTCCGCAGCCAAGTCCACAAGGTAGAGACTTACAACCTAAGGCTGGAAAAACAAGCCCTCTTGTACCTGGCAAGGAACTGGGTTTGTGTGTGAATGAGGGGGACATTTATCATGTGTTTATTACTTGTCAGACTCTGTTAATTATGAGATTGGTAATAATGATAACAGTGGCACCAATTATTAGAACAGCAACAGGGCCCCCTCCGGAAGAGAAATGATCACACAGAGAACTTTCCTGCACATTCCGAGAAAGCACAGTGCTGCCGGTCCTCCCCACACCACGTAGTAGATTCACTCTAGCTCAGCGACAGAAAAGGGATCACCCGACATCGATGCTCCTGTCCCCTCCGAAAGCCACTGTTCACTGCTGGCATTCCTCACAGGCGGAGTCGCTTCATTAAGCAGCCCACCTGCATTAAACAGAGAATGAGTGAGCGGCATGGGGCAGCAGCCAGGGGTGGGAGGGGCAGGGCAGTGAGCCCAGAAGGGGCTGCAGGAAGCTCACTGCCTCCTCTCTCGACGATGAATCCGGGTCCCAGTGGGCTCCCCATCATGCATGCCCCTGCGGCTCCAGGCACACCCTGAGAGGTGCAGGGCCCTTTCCTCTGTGGGTCCAGCAGAAACGTCAGTGTGCCTCTGCCACAAACAAACATCTTCTCAGCCTCACTGACCCTGGCAGACTGTGCAGCGCGGTCCCTGTGGGCTTTCTGCAAGCGCCTGCCCGGTTTCTGGTTCTGAAGGGGCTCCAGTCACTGGTGATGCAGTTAACCCTGCCGCACAGAGGAGAACCAGAGCGAACTAGCGCGCCCCTTCTGCATCTACCATGTGCTCTAAAAACGACCTGGTTCTCCACACCTTCTGTAGTCAAAGTCACAAAGGACGTACTGAGCGTTCACGTACTCAAAAACCATGTCTACGTCTAGTTTTTGTTTTTAAGTCAGTTCAGCAATGCCTTCATTTGATCACCTATAATGTGCCAGGAATACTTAATTTTTGAAAACCTTGGAATGTGGTCATTCGAGCAGGTTTACGCCTTCTACTCAGGAGCATGTTCTCAAAAGCTTGCATTTTCTGAGCAATACATATTTAGGGTGGGGGAGGAGGACCGCGGAGAGGGAGGCAGAGTCCGGGAATCCATTCAGGAGTGGGAAGGAGCCCTTTTCACCGTGTTGGAGCCACAGGCAAGCCATCGACAGCTGCCAGTGTTTCTAAGGGAGGGTCTCTGGTCAGATGTCTATTGAAACAGTTGTCAGCCATGGAGGAATTTTTCTGGTTTTCCTAAAGACAAGATAAGAAGAATGTGAGTTCAGATGCAAAGAATTATAGGGAGACATTTGGGAAGAAAGAAAAAACACCTAAATGTATTATACTAAGATACTTGTGGAATGGCTTTCTCTGGAACTATTTTAACACAGAGAGGACAGCCCCCTCTTCCTGAGACCCTGGCCGCCGAGGGATGGTCCGGTGACCCTGACAGCACAGCATAACTTACCCAGCCCCTCCTCCCTGACATTCTGATAAGCAAGCTATTCTGGGCTCCGGAGCACAGGCTGGCAGCGGCCCTTGCCAACAGCCGTGTTAAGTTAAATGTCAGGGCCAAATCTTTAACACATGACCCTGGAGATCTTGGCTGGTGTGCAAATGTTAAGTTCCATTATCATTCCAAACCGGAGTGGGCTGGGGGGCAAAGGTCAGGAAGAATCTGACCAGTCTGGCAGGTGGCAACAGCACTTCCTAGTCACCAAGGGTCAGTCCATGTGGTGGCCGAAGGCTGGGCTGGGGGTGAAAAGGGACATGGAGGGGGAGGGCGGGGGCAATCTTGACAAGCCTTCAGTGTCATGATTCAAGTCACTCTCATCTCCTGTGACTTGGTGGTTGGGGGCAGGGTGCACTGCCCGCCCCTACGGCTTCTCTGCACTGCCCCATTGGTTGGAGTATTGTCCCATAAACCGAAGGGTGGCAGGTTGGATTCCCATCAGGGTACATGCTTAGTCAGGGTGCATATGAGAAGCACCCCGACAAGCAACCAGTGTTTCCCTCTCATCGATGCTTCTCTCCCTCTCTCCCTCCCTTCCCCTGTCTCTCAAGTCAATAGGCATGTCCTTGGGTGAGGATAAAAAAAAAGCAGGTAGGCTCTGATGCCATCATCCTACATTATTTCTTGCTATTCATAAAGGAGAGGGAGGGGAAGAGCTAGAGTGGAGAAGTGGCATCTGGGGACAAACCTGTGTCCTGTGCTTTGTCCTCGGAGCCTGTGCCCCTCCCAAGATCGTGCTGTTGAGGTGCTGATGCTCAAAGGCCGGCCAGGAGGAGGGTCAGAGCAGCATCAGGAGCCAGGCGCTGCCTCTGCTCCAGGAAGCTCTCCATCCAGCAGGGACGAGAGGCCCCACAGGTGCCTGGCTTCCAGGGACACTTACAAGCCAAGATGATGACCGCCAGTTAACCAGGGCTATGGCAAAACGACCCCCTGGGCATCAGTGTGGGCAGGCAGCCCAGTCCCGAGTCAGGTTGCCTCAGTCACTTCGGAAAGCGCCCTTTATATTGGATGAACTTAAAGTCACTCATATATTCCTTCAGAAATGGGTGTGCGCCCTCTGCCCACTCCCCTGTCCTGTCTCACACAGGCCTCCCACACCGATGGGGCGGGCAGGGGTGCCCATGAACAGTTACAGCATCGGGGTAGGTGCTAGGAGAGAGGTGCAAGGGGAACCGAAGGAGGCCTGGAAGAACCAGGGGGGGCTTCCCAGGGGGCGTGGAAAACAGGAGGGGTTGTGGGGATGGCAGAAGAAAGTAGGGAGCCTGAAGGAGGGGAGGGGAGAGGCCAGCTCCGGTGGCCCCGAGCAGGCCCTGGGGGACTCTACTTCCTGTATTTGCACTTCCCAGGTTCCTAAGCGCTCACACTCAGTCACATTTTATTTCTTTTCTCCCCTCCTTTTTCTTCTCAGTTTGCACCCCCCTTTTTACTTCATTTGTGTCTCTTTCTCTCACTCACTGTCTCCACCCAAAATGTCCTGCAATGATTCCTTAGTCCCAGTTCTACCGCCTCCATCCTTTTACTTTGTATTAAACTTCTTCCTCTGAGATAACTGTAGGGTCACATGTGGTGTAAGAAATAATTCAGAGCTCTCCTATATCATCTACCCTGTTTCTCTCAGTGGTAACATCTTGCAAAGCAATAGTTTTTATATCAAAACCCACCAAGAGTTGGCATAAAA